TGCCTGCAGCTCCATCGCCACCTCTTCTGTTTTCCTCTTCCCTGGTTTACTGTTCCAGGACATTTCCATAGAAACAGCATCCTGGCTCCTCCGCAGTCCGGTTTCCAATAACTACAAACGGCGGCGGTGCCAGGGCAGCGGCCACCGGCACGGCCCCGCTGCACCGGGGCTCCATCCCGGCAGGGACACCCCCGGCAGCCCCCAGCCCGATCCCAGAGCCGGGCTGCATCCTCTGCCCCCGAGCTTTGCTCCTCCTCGGTGGCTCTGGTGACAGCAGGGACCAGCATCATCCCGATGGTTCCCTGTTGGAGCGTCGGGATGGACGGAGATGGACAGAGATCCCTGAAGGCAGGTTGTGGAACTTGCTGTTCATTGCAAAGGGTGCAGGGCCCAACTGGGAGCTGCCAGCCACAGCTCAGAGCAGGACTGAGAGAAGAGAGGGGCAGAGAGGATGAGAGAGTAAGAGAGTAAAAGGGTAAGAGAGCAAAAGTGTAAGAGTGAGGTTCCCATTACAATACAATAAATCTTCTTCTGTGTTGAATATTCTCATTCTCACTAACCAATCTAGTCCAAGATACAAATCCTATAGCATTTACATACAGCCTGTAAGAATCATTACATTCCCATACTGTGTTACATTTTAAACCCTAAAAACTCCTCTTTGGACCCCTTCTGCCAAGCTGTAGGGTCTGCTCTGCCCCTTGGGCCTGCCTGCAAGCAGAGGGTGTTGTTCCATCAAAAGGGCATTACCTTCAGCTGGCCATACCATTGTTTTCCAGTTGTTCAGAAACTGGGGTATCTCAAAGCTTGCTTTCATTTCAATCTCGCTTATAGTTTCCATAGTCTCAAAATCTTTTGCCAGGCAATCACATTTATAAGGCTTTCCTGTTTCATCTTCCCCAACAGTTCCCTCCGCTGCCCAGGCTGGCAGGAGAACAGGAGGGAGCTCTGACCTCGGGATTAATCCAAATTCCACTCCTTCAGTGCCTTCCAGGGCCAGGTGGAAGCCTGGGCTGTACCCATATTTCCGTGTCCTCTGTTTGCTTTTCGCTGTTTGTCTGCTTGTTAAGTACCCATTTAGCACAAGTGCAACTCGGGGGAACGCGATTGCTGGACCAGATGGGTCCCAGAATCTTTGGGAGAAAATCTGAAAAAAGCACAGGGACAAGCTCCCCCAAGCCTTGCTGGTTCCTTTTCTTTGGAAAATTCTGCCTCTCCCCAGATTAAGGCCAGGTGGGAAAAGATTGGCCCCTGTTTTCTGGAGCTTGGAGAGCTTAAATGAGAGCACGTTGATCTATACTTAATGTGATTAAGTTACATCTCCGAGTATCATGCTAATTAAATTAAACTTCCCACTGCTGCCTCTGAGGCTTAAGCAGGATAGTTGTTTTAAGACCACAATTCACTCCCCTGCATGGCTGAGCAGGTGGGATAAAAGCACTCTGCTAATCAAGTCATCCTGGTGTTTAGAAACAACTTCTAAAGCAAGGGATATTCAAATTTAAATCTGATTGGAGTTGGATTTAAACTCTGCATTTTCAATCTGAAGTGATTTGTGCTTTGAATAAGGAAAATAACAGGGAAAAAACAGAAGTTACAGGGTGAGACAGTGCATAGACTGTCTGACCACAGTGTCTCAGGTGCAGAAACAGAATTTTGGGAAGGAATTCCTCCCTGTGAGTAGTGAGCCCTTGGCACAGGGTGCCCAGAGAAGCTGTGGCTGCTCCATCCCTGGAAGTGTTCCAGGCCAGGCTGGACAGGGCTTGGAGCAGCTGGGACAGTGCAAGGTGTCCCTGCCATGGCAGGGGTGGCCCTGCCTGACCTTTAAGGTCCCTTCCAACCCAAACCATCCCATGACCTCGCCAAGACCCCTCTCCCCTGCCCTCCTCCCATGCCCAGCAGCTCTTTCCGCCTTGCAGCTTCTCAAAGCAGCGGAGATGTCAAAGCTCCCGCCTGATGGATCTGACAGCGCTGCCCCGCAGGCGGGACGGCAGCACCGGCAGCGTTCACGGCTCGTTCCCCAGCCGGCCCGGGGGCTCTGTCAGCCATGGAGGTACCGAACCGACGGCTCGGCTCAGCCCCGGGCTGGAGCGGGGCATCCACCGTGCTCGGTGCGTGCCTGAGCCCCCGGAGAGCAGCGGGAGCATCCCTGCGCTGCCAACCCGGCACGGCTCGGCTGTGGGATAACTCCGGCCACGGACATTCCTGCAGGCCCAGCTCTGCCCCCCCGAGCGTGATTTAATAGCTCGGTGTGAGGGAAACAAGAGACTCTTCAGGAGAGAAAGGAGCTTAGTTTTAAATGGATGCCAGAGCTTGGAGAGCCGCTGCTCCACACTGGGAAAGGGGTCACTGTTCAGTGTTCAAGGGATGCTGGGGGCTGTCCCTGCTTCCCACAGACCCCTGAGACCGCTGGCAGTGCCTGAGCCCATCTGCTGAGCCCTCCTGAGCAGGGGCAGGACGTGGGCACAGGGAGGTCTCTCACTTGTCCCACCGAGCCATTCCATGCAAACCACCTGGAGAAAAGAAGGGCCAGCAGCAGAGAAAGAGCTGTTCTCTATTCTCTGTTCTCTATTCTCTATGATCTATTCTCTATGATCTATTATTTTTCACAGTTGTTAGGGCTCCAGCTGCCTCAGTTCTGTTATTTACACCTGGAGATGGTCTTTGGTCAGGGGGGTTAAACCCCACTCCCCAGCAGGGAATTCTCTCCCCTTCATCCCAAATCCCGGCACAAGGGCAGCCCCACTGGCAGCCCCCACAGCCTCGGCTTCCATCTCCACTCCAGCTCTGAAGGATTGGGATGCACGGCTCTGGGAAGGGGCACAAATCCCGCATAAACCACAGCAGATTAACTCCCCCTCCCCTGTGTGCTGGGGCTGGGCTCAGGGGGAGCCACGCAGGGTTTAGGAGCAGGGGCTGATGGAGGGGCTGTGCTGGGACCCCCCCAATCTCTGCTCGCTCCCCCCAGCCCAGGGACCACCCTGAGCCCCCCCTCCACCCAACCCCTTCACTGGGGGAAAATCCACATAACCCCACCAGCAGAAAACTGCTGTGTTTCACAGGAGAGGTGTTCAAAGGGCGATTATTTCACCTTAAAGCCACAATAATTTCAGGGCCCACAGTGCAGAGGGAGTGCAGTCCGCCCCGTGGAGGGACTGACAGGACTGGACCCACTTTTAGGTTCTTCCAGCCTTAACAATGTGGGAATTTTTCGTCACTTGGGGTCGCTAATTGTGGTGGTGTTTACAGGGGTCTCAGGATAAGGGAAGAGATGAGGATCTGACTCTATGTTTTAGAAGGCTAATTTATTATTTGATGATATATATTATATTAAAATGATGTATTAAAACTATACTAAAAGAATAGAAGAAAGGATTTCATCAGAAGGCTAGCAAAGAATAGAAAAAGAGTAATAAAAGCTCCTGACTTTCAGAAAGTCTAAGCCAGCTGACTGTGATTGGCCATTAATTAGAAACAACCACATGAGACAATCACAGATCTACTTGTTGCATTCTACAGCAGCAAATAATTATTGTTTACATTTTGTTCTTGAAGCTTCTCAGCTTTAAGAGAAAAAATCTTAAAAAAAAGATTTTTCATAAAACATGTCTGTAACAAAACACTTCCACGATTCTGTGATGCCATCCTATGACAGCCAAAGCAGCCAGGGCCGGACACAAACAAAACAAAACAAAAAACCACATAAATGTGCTTTTAACTGGAGGTTTCTGACGGTTCCCCGTGTGTGTGCCTGAGGGATTAACAGTGTCCAGAGGCTTCCCGTGCCCGGCAGCTGCATCACGATGTCACCGTCGTCACAGCAACCCGCTCGCCACGGCCCTGGAGCCGCGGCTCCGGCTCTCCTGGAGCTTCTTTTAATTAAAGATGGGAAAGGCTGTGAAAGGCCCCCAGAGCCCCGGGAGAGCCCGGTGACCCCAGGTCTGTGCAAGCCCTGCACGCACGCGTTTCACCGCAGTGAATTTTGCTGTGGAACTGTGACGGGGCAGAGCGGGGGCTCTGGGGACGCTGCCATCCCCTCCTGGTCACAGCTCAGCTGGGGAAGTTGTTTCACTTTCGTGTGGCTTTTCCCCCAGCAATTCACACCCCAGAGAGACCTGTCGAGCCCAGATGGATGAGATGACCTTTAAAGGTCCCTTCCATTCCCAAACCACCCCATGATTCCCGAATTTCCCCTGCAAGCATCAGCGTCACCTCCTTAGCAAAACACACCACGGAGAGAGAAATAAGGATCTGTCAGGAGGAAACACAGTCCCATTTTACCACCTCAGCCCCAAAAACTGAGCTGGAATCCCCTCCCCTGGGTGGGACCCACGGGGTGATGCTTATTCACACAAGGTGAGGTGATGCTGGTCCCTGCAGGGTCAGCCTGGTCCCTATGGGATGATGCCATTCCCTGCAGGGTCCCCATGAGGTGATGCTGGTCCCTGCAGGGTCAGGCTGGTCCCTGTGGGATGATGCCAGTCCCTGCAGGGTCCCCATGAGGTGATGCCTGTCCCTGCAGGGTCAGGCTGGTCCCCATGAGGTGATGCTGATCCCTGCAGGGTCAGGCTGGTCCCCATGAGGTGATGCCGGTCCCTGCAGGGTCCCCATGAGGTGATGCTGGTCCTTGCAGGGTCAGGCTGGTCCCTGTGGGATGATGCTGGTCCCTGCAGGGTCAGGCTGGTCCCCATGAGGTGATGCTGGTCCCTGCAGGGTCCCCATGAGGTGATGCCGGTCCCTGCAGGGTCAGGCTGGTCCCCATGAGGTGATGCCGTTCCCTGCAGGGTCAGGCTGGTCCCCAGGCTCGGGGGCCGCCCTCCCCAGCTGCCTTTGATCAGAGCACGGCTCTGTTTCCCTGCTCTCCGTGCCGTGGGTTTCCAGCGGGAGGTGGGGAAGCGCGCTCAGCCTGACCCTCCCCTCCTCGGATCTGTCATCAGCCGCACACAAATCCTCCCCAAGTTACCCAGCCCGAATCCTGCAGGATTTGCCGGGGTGGCAGGATGGCAGAGCAGCCCTGCCTGGGTCCCCCTGCCAGCCCTGCAGCCCCAAACCCCCAGACCCACCCCAGGGACAAGTGGAGCAAAAAGATGGATTTCCTCCTCTCCGTCGTCGGATTCGCCGTCGATCTGGGCAACGTCTGGCGGTTCCCTTACATCTGCTACCAGAACGGAGGGGGTAAGGACACCACTGGGCTTATTTAAGTCTTCTTTTGGAGAAATGATGCCTTTTTCCTCGTTTTCTATCTTTCCCACCCTGAAGAATTCACTGTTTCTTCTCCTTCTTTGTTTCCAGCTGCTCCACTTCAGACAGGGCGGTTTAAAGACCGACCCAACTTCTCCCGACATCTGTCTCTTTTCTGTTTGTGTCTTTCTTCATTCAGAATCCTCCTCCACTCCCTCCATCCTCCTTCCCTGGGGTCCTTTCCTCATTTCCTGGTCTTTCCCTCCGTTCCTGGTCTTGCCCTCCTTCCCCAGTGGGGTTAGAGGTGCGTTAGCAGCTCTAGGATCACAAAGGGAAAATTAGCATGGTCCAAATTGCAAAAAAGGATAAAGATCTGTAAATTTGGGCTGGGAGGTTCACACAATTCATGATTTTGGGACTCTGGGAAGCTGCTCCTGGTTTAAAATCATCCTCATGAGCATCCCACCCTCCTGCTGTGGATCCTGGCTGGCAGTGCTGGACATCACGAGCAGCCCCAGCTTTGAGGGATCAATGGGAAGCAAAGACACAGAAAAAACACCACAAAGGGAAAAAAAACCTTCAGTAAATGACTACTAAATAAATTGCTGGGAATGGAGCAGGATAGAAAGCCCCCTCACATGGAAATGAAAAAGGAGGGATGAGAATTTTGTGCTGTTTGGGAAAGCGCAGCGGATTTAATTGCCAAAGTTGGCTTTCAGGGAGCATCCTCCACTGCTTGGGAAAATTAGAAAGAGGTAATTAGTTCCATACTCAAGGCAAAACTGTGGATCCCAGGTGCCCACGTTGAAACAGAGTTATTTGTGAGATGCTCCTCTGGGACTGGGAGCAGAGCTGAGCCCCTCTGCGTGCCTGTGGTTCGGGTGGGAGGTTCCCACCTGCCCCACACACATGGGAGGGTGAGGAGTTCAGGGAGCAGCTCTGGGGGAGCACAGCCCCATGGAGGGGGAGCACGGGCATGGGCAGCGCTGGACTCACCCACAATTCAGGCTCTGCCTGGAAGGAAAACACTGGAAACACTTGGTGCTGTTGGGCCAGCCCTGCCAGGCAGACAGGGGGGCTGCAGGAGGGTGTTTGGGATATTTGGGATACTGGAGGTTTCAGGGATATTGGAGATACTGGGGGTTTTGGAGATGCTGGAGGTGCTGAGGGTTTTGGGGGTACTGGGAATGTTGGGGTGCACCACACTCACATCTGTCAGAGGGAGGAGCTGTGGGGGTTAAATTAACTAATCCCAGCAGAACTCAGAGAGCAGTTCCACTCCCAAAAGCTCCATGGGGTACAAGTGTAGCCCCAGTAAAAATGAGGATGTAATGAATAATGCAGATTACAGCGCTAATTATGTGTCTTGGGGTGGCTGTGCATATTCAGTCAGATTTTCCTCCAAAACTCTTCCAGACCTGAGGGGTGCTGGGTGTCCCCTCCCCTGTGTCCCAATGGTTTATGTGGCTCTTTGTTCCAGCCTGGCCAAATGGTGCCTCCCCAGCACGGGCTGGGACCCCAGCAGGGCTGCTGGAGCCCCAAGCAGGGTCTCACATCTCTGAGCTCCCCTGACCAGACAATCTCCAAAGCTTCCCACAAACGCATCCAGACCTGCTGGGGCAGTGCCAGGAGGGAGGGAGGTGACAATGCCGTGGTCCCCTGGTGTTCACCCTGCTCTGCTCCCCCCACTGCAGGAGCCTTCCTCATCCCCTACACGCTGATGGCAGTTTTTGGGGGGGTGCCCCTCTTCTACATGGAGCTGGCCCTGGGGCAGTTCCACAGGACAGGTGCCATCCCCATCTGGAAGCGCATCTGCCCCATCTTTAAAGGTGAGAGGCCCCAGCTGGGGTGACACCCTGACCCCCAGCAGGTCCCCAAGGTCGTGTCCCAAAGCTGATCCCGATCCTGCTTTTCCCAGGCATCGGCTTTGCCATCTGCATCATCGGCCTCTACGTCTCCTTCTACTACAACACCATCATTGCCTGGGCTCTCTACTACTTCTACTCATCCTTCTCGGCCACCCTGCCCTGGGCAAGCTGTGACAACCCCTGGAACACCCCTGACTGCACCAACTACTTTGGGAAGAGCAACGTGACCTGGACCAACTTCTCCAGGTCCCCCGCCGAGGAGTTTTACACGTGAGTGCAAGGATGTGGGTGGTGTGAGCTGGGCACATCCCCCAGGGGGCTCTGGGGTGGGAATGCTCCTGAGGAGCTCAGGGACTGCCTGCCTGGGGCTGAGGCTGCTCCCAGCCCTGGGGATCCCGTCCTGCAGGAGGAAGGTGCTGGAGATCCAGAAATCTGGGGGTCTGTATGACATCGGGGGCATCCGCTGGCAGCTGCTCCTCTGCCTCTTCCTCATCTTCGCCATCGTCTACTTCAGCCTGTGGAAAGGGGTGAAAACCTCTGGGAAGGTGAGGGGAGCTCCAGCAGTGCCCTGCCAGGGCAGGAGGAACCCCTCACCTGGTAGGATCTTGCCAGCCCCGAGAGGGAAATGTCACCTCCTCCTCCTCACCCCTGTGCCCGAGGCCACCCTGGGCGAGCCCAGCGCAGGGTTTGGGTGCTGGGTGGTGGCACAGGGTGACAGTGCCTCCCCCCCAGGTGGTGTGGGTGACAGCCACGCTGCCCTACGTGGTGCTGCTCATCCTGCTCATCCGAGGGGCCACCCTGCCTGGAGCCTGGAGAGGAGTTGTCTTCTACCTGCGCCCAGACTGGGGCAAGCTGCTGAGCACCTCGGTGAGTGAGGGTGGGACCCCCTGCCCAGGGCAGGGCAGCACCCAGAGCCCTCCAGAGCACACCTGTCACAGACACATCTTTTATGAAAAATCCTTTCTTTAGGATTTTTCCTCCTGAGAAGCTGAGAGACCTCAGCAACAAAATGTAAACATTGATTATCTGCTGCTGTAGAATGCAACAGGTGGATCTTTGATTGGCCCATGTTGGTTGTTTCTAATTAATGGCCAATCACAGCCCAGATGGCTTGGACAGAGAGTCCGAGCCACAAACCTTTGTTATCATTCCTTCTTATTCTATTCTTAGCTAACCTTCTGATGAAATCCTTTCTTCTATTCTTTCAGTATAGTTTTAATATAATATATATCATAAAATAACAAATCAATCCTTCTGAAACATGGAGTCAGATCCTCGTCTCTTCCCTCATCCTTGGACCCTGGTGAACACTGTCACAAACCCACCCACCCATCTGGGCAGGGCAGCACCCAAAACCCCTCCCCAGGGCACCCACCCATCCCTGCCCACGGGCCTGGCCCCACCACAGGGCAATGGGGCCCTTGTTCCCACAGAAACGGTGCCCTGGACAGGCTCTTGGAAATGGAAATCCATAATTGAATCACCCATCTCATTCTGGCCGGTTTTGTTTGTGCTCTGCTCCCCCCTGGGCTGACAATGAGCTTCCTGTGGGTAATTACCAGGCAGCACTTGAGAATTCTCATTAAAGGTAATGAGGGCTGCCAGCACTGAATGTGCCAGGCAGGAGTGGGCACGGCAGGCTCGGGGCTCCCCTCCATCCCTCCCTGCTCCAAGGGTGACACTGCTGAGTGTCCAGGGTGGAAATCAGCTCATTCCAGGCCACAGCAGCTCCTCAGCCCCCAGGACATCTCCTGGGGGCACAGGGCAGGCAGGAGAGGAGCTCTGGACCCTTTTCTCTGGAGGCTCTCAGCACAGCCCCAGCCCTGTGCCAGGGGGTGTCCGTGCCATTGCTACTGTGGGGCACCTCCCAGCCCCATCCAGCCCCAAGGACCTCCTGCCCTGCCCATCCTCCTGTTGTTTCTCCCTCCAGGTCTGGGTGGATGCTGCTGCGCAGATTTTCTTCTCCTTGGGCCCTGGATTTGGAGTCCTCCTTGCTCTGGCCAGTTACAACCATTTCCACAACAACTGCTACAGGTGAGGGTCCATCCCAGTGGGCACAGCTGCAGGGGAGGCACATCCCAACAGCTCCTGGTGCCCTCTGCCACATCCCAACAGCTCCTGGTGCCCTCTGCCACATCCCAACAGCTCCTGGTCCCCTCTGTCACATCCCAACAGATCCTGGTGCCCTCTGCCACATCCCAACAGCTCCTGGTGCCCTCTGTCACATCCCAACATCTGCTGCTCCCCTCTGCCACATCCCAACAGCTCCTGGTGCCCACTGCCACATCCCAACAGATCCTGGTGCCCTCTGCCACATCCCAACAGCTCCTGGTGCCCTCTGCCACATCCCAACAGCTCCTGGTCCCTTCTGCCACATCCCAACAGATCCTGGTCCCCTCTGCCACATCCAAACAGATCCTGGTCCCCTCTGCCACATCCCTGGTCCCCCTGGCTGCAGCCTGGGCATCTTTCCCCATTTCACTGATGGTTTTTGTTTGATGGGCCAGGAGAGGGAACTGGAGTGGGGCAAGGCCAGGGCAGCTGGAGCAGGGCTGACCTGGAGTGGGGTCTCTGCCTCTTTTCTGCCCTCCAGGGATGCCCTGGTCACCAGTGCTGTGAACTGCCTCACCAGCTTCCTCTCAGGCTTCGTCATCTTCACCGTGCTGGGCTACATGGCCGAGATGAGGGACGTGGAGGTGGAGGATGTTGCCAGAGACAAAGGTTCTCCTCCCTCCAGCAGCCCCTTCCCACCCCCAGGGCTGTGCCAGGGAACAGCCAACCAAGCCAGTGTCCCCTCCCAGGGCCCAGCCTCCTCTTCATCACCTACCCTGAAGCAATTGCCAACATGGTGGGATCCACCTTCTTCGCCATCATTTTCTTCCTGATGATGATCACCCTGGGGCTGGACAGCACGGTAGGAGGGGACAGCCCAGCTGTGTCCCCAGCAGGGACCAGGGGTGGCCATGTCCCATGGCTGAAAGTGGGGTGACAAGGGGAGGGATGGGCTGGGCTGGGATGGGATGGGATGGGATGGGATGGGATGGGATAGGATGGGATGGGATGGGATGGGATGGGATGGGATGGGATGGGATGGGATGGGATGGGATGGGCTGGGATGGGATGGGGCATCCCCGCTCTGCCATTTTCAGCAGATTTTCTTGGAGAGCAGGGCTGTCCCCACACCCCATTTCTCCACCCCTCACCAGCATTTCTTTGCAGTTTGGAGGCTTGGAGGCCGTGATCACGGCTGTGATGGACGAGTACCCCCAGGTCCTGGCAGGGCGACGGGAGCTCTTTGTCCTCGGCCTCATCACAATCTGTTTCCTGGGCTCCCTCAGCACCCTCACCTACGTGAGTTCCACTGGCACCACCCTGCCCTGGCCCCCCACATCCCCTCCTGCACCCCGTGGGGTCTGCAGCCTCCCCCTGCTGCTCCAGGGGGGAGCCTACGTGGTGAAGCTGCTGGAGGAGTTTGGTGCTGGCTGCTCCATCCTGGCAGTGGTGCTGCTGGAAACCATCGCTGTCTCCTGGTTTTATGGTAAGAAACTGCCTCTGTCGTGGAAAACACTCTGGGGGCACCTACACAGGTGTGTGACCCTGCACAGGTGAGTAAATCCCAGGCACTGGATCCTGTGTGGGGCTCCTGGCCAGGCTGGGATGGGAGCAGAGGGTTGGGATGGGAGCAAAGGGCTGGGATGGGAACAAAAGGCTGGGATGGGGGCAGAGGGCTGGGATGGGATGGGAGCAGAGGGCTGGGATGGGAGCAGAGGGCTGGGATGGGGGCAGAGGGCTGGGATGGGAGCAGAGGGCTGGGATGGGAGCAGAGGGCTGGGATGGGAGCAGAGGGCTGGGATGGGATGGGAGCAGAGGGTTGGGATGGGAGCAGAGGGCTGGGATGGGAACAAAAGGCTGGGATGGGGGCAGAGGGCTGGGATGGGATGGGAGCAGAGGGCTGGGATGGGAGCAGAGGGCTGGGATGGGGGCAGAGGGCTGGGATGGGAGCAGAGGGCTGGGATGGGAGCAGAGGGCTGGGATGGGGGCAGAGGGCTGGGATGGGAACAAAAGGTTGGGATGGGAGCAGAGGGCTGGGATGGGAGCAGAGGGCTGGGATGGGAACAAAAGGTTGGGATGGGGGCAGAGGGCTGGGATGGGAGCAGAGGGTTGAGATGGGAACAAAGGGCTGGGATGGGAGCAGAGGCCGTTGTGTCCATGGGGATATCCCTGACCCCACATCCCCAGCAGGATCCCAGGGCTCTGAGGGCTCTCTCCTCTGGCAGGGATCCAGAGGTTCTCCCACGATGTCAAGGCCATGCTGGGCTTCACCCCAGGGCTCTTCTGGAAGCTGTGCTGGGTCGCCATCAGCCCAGCCCTGCTGGCAGTGAGTATCTATGGCCAAATTATGGACAAGGTCATTGCTGTCCCTCTGGACACCCTGCAGCCACTCCCCTCTGCTGCCCAGCTCCCTGTGCCATGGATAACTCCCCTCTCACCCACACGAGGTGACCAGGAGAGCAGACAGGGCTGTGGGACCTCACACCAGCCCTCCCCATGCTGCTGCTCCAGCCACAGTGCCCACATCCCCAGGACCTCGCCGAGAAAGGGAGCTGGAAGTTCATTTTCCAGCCTTTTCCACAGCTCCAGGGCAAAGCTGGGTGCTCACACAGGTGCCAGCTCAGCTTTGCCTCATCCTCCCAGCACTCAGCATCCCTGGCAGGGCTGGCCACGGGTCCCTGTCCCCTGTGCTGGGCTGGATCCATCCCTTTGAAACGCCAGCTCCCACGGCACTTCAAAGGCTGCCGTGGGCACAGGGGCCTAATCTCACTGGATCTGCAGGAGAAGAGGCCTTGTGAGGATTAATTATGGCTCTAAGCACTTTGCCCTGGTTATTAAGAGAGGAGTATTATCATCAAAGCACACACAGCCAAGGGTTTTGTTTCAGCACAGGGCTGAGCAGCCCTGGCAGGCCAGCAGCTCACAGGGATTGTCAAACAGAGCCTCCCAGCCCTCACCCAGCCAGGGTGGCAGCCTGGGAGGTGCCCCTGTGATGCCCATGCTGCCTGGGATTTGGGATAACAGGGGGAGCAGCAGGACGTGGAGGGTGCTCACAGAATCATGGAATTGCAGAATGGTTTGGGTTGGAAGGGACCTTAAAGATCATCTGGTTCCATCCCTGCACCCTGATAACCTGTGGGGTGAGCTGGGGAGATCAGGGAATTATTTAGGTTGGAAAAGCCCTCTAAGATCAAAGAGTTCAAGCATTACCCAGCACTGCCAAGGCCACCACTAAGCCATGTCCCCAAGGCCCACATGCAGGGGGATATTAAAGCCCTCCAGGGATGGGGACTCCACCACTGCCCTGGGCTGCACAGCCCTTTTGGTGAGGAAATTTTCCCTGATGTCCAACATAACCTGGCACAACCTGAGGCCATTTCCCCTGGTTCTGTGCCTTGTTCCCTGGAAGCAGAGCCCAACTCCCATCTGGCTGCACCCTCCTGTCAGGGAGTCGTGGGGAGACAGAAAATCCTCCCTGAGCCTCCTTTTCCCCAGGCTGAGCTCCTTTCCCAGCCCCTTCCCCAGCTCTGTTCCCTTCTCTGGCCACGCTCCAGCCCCTCCATGTCTGTCCTGGTGTGAGGAGCCCAAACTGCTCACAGGACTGGAGGCCCCTGTGGCTCTGCTCGTTACAGTTCATTGTCATCAGCTCCCTCCTGGAGCAGCCTCCCCTGGCCCTCTTTGAGTACCAGTACCCCGAGTGGAGCATCTCCGTGGGATTCCTCATCGGGGCATCCTCCTTCATCTGCATCCCCCTGTACATGGTGTACAAGCTCGTCTGGACACCAGGGTCCCTCAAGCAGGTCAGGACTGGCAATCCCAGGGCTCCTGGGTGGGCTGGGGTGGGCAGGGACCCCCTTGGGGAGCTGGGCTGGTTGATGCATCCTTGTGACCGTGTTCACAGGGGTCTGAGGATGAGGGGAGAGACGAGGATCTGAGTCCATGTTTCAGAAGGCTTGGTTTATTATTTTATTATATATATTATATTAAAACTATTCTAAAAGAATAGAAGAAAGGATTTCATCAGAAAGCTGGCTAAAAATAGAATAAGAAGGAAATTATAACGAAGGCTTCATCTCGGACTCTCTGTCCGAGCCAGCTGGGCTGTGATTGGCCATTAATTAGAAACAACCAACATGGGCTAATCAAAGATATACCTGTTGCATTCCACAGCAGCAGATAATCAAATTTTGTTCCTGAGGCCTCTCAGCTTCTCAGGAGGAAAACTCCTAAAGAAAGGATTTTTCATAAAAGATGTCTGCGACACATCCTCAGCATCTTTGTTGAGCGGCAATTAAACCCCACCGGGATTTAATGCCCTGGGGAGGGCTCGGGGGAGCGCAGGGAGGAGACGCGCTGTGTTTTGTCTCTCCATCAGCGCCTCGCCGTCTGCATTCGGCCCGAGAAGCTGATGCGAGCCCCCCAGGCAGAGGGGGTGGGCATGGCCCCGGTCCTGTAGCGCGGGGGACGCGGGCACTGCTCGGGCTCCCTCCTGGCGCAGCGATGGGGCAGCTCCTCAGCACAGACCGGACCTGGCATCTCCACGAGCATCACCGAGGGCACATCCCGGCGGAGCGGAGCCCGTTCTCGCTGCTGGCAGGGAGGAAAGCACGGCAGGGAGAACGGGAGCAGCGCTGCGGCCCCTGCGGGACCAACAGCCGGGGCTGGGGGAGAAGCCCAGCTCCCGGAGCGGATGGAGGAATTGCCTCGCTCCAAGGCTCCCCCCCGTGCGTGTCTGTAGCTGTGCCGTGAGTGTTCGGAAAATAAAGCTGATGCTGATGCTCGGAGCTGAGGGGAGGGAGAGGAGCCGGAGCTGGCAGCGCTGTGTTCATGGAGCGACGTGCGGGGCTCAGAGCCCGGGCTGGGATGGGGGACAGGGGTGCTGTCGCTGTCCAGACACACTTTATCCTGCTAAAAAGATCCAAAATCCAGCGGAGGACTCGCCCGAGCCCGGGGGTGGGTCCCAGGTGCTGCTGAATCCGGGCAGGTCGGTGCCTCCTGCCGCCCCATCCCGGAGGATGCAGGGAATAGGCATTTAAAGAGGGAAAAAACCCCTAATATATTTCATTTTAAACCCAAACCCTGGGTCGGGGTGAGGCATCCCTGGACCGGTGTCAACCATGCCGCCGCGGCTTCTTATTCCCATCGCTCCCAGAGCAGCATCACCGTCCCTCGGTGTTTGGGGACCTTAAAACACCGGGAAGGACCCACGTTCGTGACAGCGGGGGCTTGAGGGGACACACGGGACTTGGGGGGGGGGACATACAGGGCTGGGGAGCAGAGGGTGCCCACGGGGGTGCAGGGACGCGCTATGGACGCGCGGGTCTCTCCCGGGCGGGCGCGGGGCGCAGCGCTCCCGGTGCCGTTCCCGGAGCCGCTCCCGGTGCGGTTCCCGGTGCCGTTCCCGGAGCCGCTCCCGGTGCCGCTCCCGGTGCCGCTCCCGGAGCCGCTCCCGGTGCGATTCCCGGAGCCGCTCCCGGTGCGGTTCCCGGTGCCGTTCCCGGAGCCGCTCCCGGTGCGATTCCCGGTGCCGTTCCCGGTGCCGTTCCATCGTTCCGCTCCCCCGGAAGGCCGGTGCCGGGGCGGGGCGGGCGGCAGGAAGGGGCAGGCCCGGGCCCGGCGCACAAAGCCCGGCGGGGTCCGTGGTGTCGCGGCGCGATGGGGCTGGCGGCGGCGCGGGGCTGGGCGCTGTCCCCGCTGTCGCCGGGCCCGGCGGAGCGCAGCCGGCCCTACGCTGTACTGCAGCATCAGAACCTGGGTGAGGAGCGGGGGGCACCGGGGATAGCCCCGCCACGACCCGGCCGGCGGCTCGGGAGATGCTCAGGGAGTGTTGAATTAATGTTCTTTCTCTTGCCGCCGTAGTGCTGCTGGGCAGCATCCTCAGCGCTCTGCTGCTCACCATCATCCTCATGGCCATCTGTGTCTACCGGCCCGTCCGGCGGCGGTAGCGGAGCGGGACCCTCCGGGGCATCGAGAGAATGCTGCATCCCACCCGGTTCTCCCACCTGGAATCCGCCATCCCAGCATCGCTTCAGCCCTGCCGGTTCTCCCGTCTGGTACCCACCGTCCCGGCGCTGCTGCTCCGGACCCAGCAGGTTCTCCCCTCCGGTACCCACCGTGCCACCGCTGCTCCGGTCCCGCCCGGTTCTCCCGTCCGCTCCCGGCAGCTGCTGGGGATGCGCTGAGGATGCGAGCGTGGCTTTCCCCCCATCTCTGCCCGTGCTGTATCCCTTGGCTCCATCGTGATGTGGCTTCCAGCGGTGCTCTGGCCGGGTGCTGGAAATCATCCTCCTCTTCCTCAGCAAACAGAACTCCTGGAGCTCCTGGGGCGTGTTCGCAGCGATCCCGCCTGGCTCGGAGCAGGGGCTGAGCAGCGCCTCCCAAATCCCCGCGTTTTGGAGAGGCTGATCCGACCCCGTGTGCTCCAGAGCATCCCCGGGCTGTGCAGGCACCCAGGGCCTCGGTTGGAACAAGGACGGGGCGAGATTGGGGACATTGTCCGAGGAGCAGCTCCACGTGCTCGGTCACACCACGTCTGCTTTTTGCTTTCTGATTAATTCAGGTCCTTGTTTGAACGCCGAGTTCTGGGAGTTGGACAGGGCTTGGAGCGACCTGGGGTAGTGGGGGGTGGACCTGTCAGGGCAGGGGTGGAACAGGACGAGCTTTAAGGTCCCATTCAAAAATATTCCAAAGGTAAAAGCTCAGTGAGCCAGCCAGCAGTGGGTGGAGGGTCTGGTCCATTCCTGCCTCTGAGCAGAAACACTGATGCATGACCTGATCCTGGTGTAGTTTTCCCCAAGCCAGGCTTCTCATTCCCAACGTTATTTGCTTTAACTCCAGGCTAAAAAGCCCCAAATAACCTCCCACCAAACCAGCCCTGCTGAACCTGTTGGGCACTGGGGTGCAGCTGAGGGGTTCCAGCATGTGCTGCTCACTGTCCTCCTGCAAGCAGGAGCCTCCAAAGGTCTGCAAGCCAGGCAGATGCTCTGGAAGAGTGTGAGCTCCAGCCAGACCCATTTTATGCAGTTTCAGTAACAAGTGTTTACACTGAATCCCACTTCCATACGAATGCTGCTATTTTGTTTTGCACTGCTACAAGTAGTAACTGGATTTTACTAATTATTACTTTAATATTTAACATAGGGGTGTTTTGCTTAGTAATTTATTTAGAGTTTTAAAAATGTAACTTCCAGACTAATTGTTGTTGACCTGTTCTCAAGCCCTCGTGCTGCATCTGAGGTGTTTTCTGTTCTGTTTCAAGGACACTGAGTGCTGGCATTGAACAGGGATTTTCTTTGTTTTGAGAAATGACAGAGTGAGCCCGGCCTCGAACAGATGGAGTTGTTAATCCAAGAGTGTTCTTTCTATTGCTTTCTGCTCCTCCTTTTGCTCACTGGTTCCTGTGTTCCTGATTTTCCTTGCTCCTTCATCGCTGTGAAGCCTGGCCTGCAGCCTGTGCTGCTCGTGGGGGTGGATGGTGAAGCTCCCAGCCCCAGCTCTGCATTCCCAGGAGCAGAATTCCTGTTTGCTCTCATTCCTCACTCCCTGCTATGCCTCTTTGTACAAATAAAACGCTCAGTAAACAATCCAGGCTCTTATTTATTCATGGCTGTGCTGTTTGTTATTAACTGGGCTGGAAAGGGGTGAGGCTGTCCTGATCCCCACCCCTGGTCCCCTCATGGCTCCTACCTTGTTTTTAGTGGGGTGGCAGTGCTGGGGGAAGCCAGGGAAGAGGATGGCAGTGCTGGGACAATGTTTCCATGGATGTTTGTCAACAAGGAACCATTTAACAGCACCATGGAAGCACATCCTACAACGGCTGTGCAGTTTCCAGCAGCTCAGCTATGAATCAAAACTCAGCCAAAGCAGTGTAAGAAGGGTTTCCAAATAAACAAAATCATGAATTGCTGATGTAAAAAGCCTTGAAATGGGGTCAAAAGCACAAAAAAAAGCACATAGTCTTGCTTTCAGGAGCTAGCAGCATCAACTTAAAGAACTTTTTAGAAGAAGCTACAGGTGTTTGTAACTCTGAGCTTCTCTTTCCTACATCAGCCTCAAGCTGCCTCAGAGAGAGGTTGGACTCTGTTTACACAACAATCTTGGCCTTAATATTAAACCCACTCAGAACCCTCTCTCCTCTCTTACAAGAAGCTGCAGAGAGAAAATAATAGGGTTTCCTGCTTTTCACTGCCTTAACTTCTGTGTTGTACTGATTCTCCAAGACAGGAAGACTCAAAATTTGGCTGAAAACGTCCAAAAGCCAGAACTACCTTGGAGAATTTCAGATGATAATGTCACTTTACTATACAAAAAGACAGATAATTCATAAAAGAAAAAAAAAAGACTCCAAATACAGTGTGAGAAAAAAATACCTGTGTGTGGTGTAATGTGCAGTACCTTTGGTTTTTCTTCCAGCACACAGAGCATGTCCATCTTACACTCAAAGGGTTAAGTCAGGCTTTAAGAGAAGCAGCACCTGGCTGAGGGAAGCAGGGCCTTCTAGTTTTAGCTGGAATCATACAAATGTCAAAGAAAGCAAAAAAAAAAAAACCCCAAAGCTAATCCAATTTATTTTACAGTCCCAGACTAAGAAGCAGGAGCGTAACAGAACTTTAACTGAAAGTGCTCAATGTTCTTTAGTTTAAATATAAAACCAGAACAAGTCAGCTTGAAAAATGCTATTTTTACCCCTCTTGTAACCTTTGAAAAGCTTAGCAGAAGACAGGCAATGCCAGGCAGGCGGGTTTGTAAAGGCAACAGCACTCTTTATTCCCACTGGAGGAATGCCCACAGCTCCATCTCCTGCCTCCCACCCTTGTCAGGAGCTCAACACGAGGCCTCTTCCCTTCTCCCAACTGTGACAGCCACAGGAATCCCCTTTTGCAAAGAAAGAAATCCCAACCCAGCCCACTGCCCCTGTGCAGGACAGTCCCCATTTCCAGCAGCTGTTTTCAGGGATGCAGGTTGTGCCAGGGAACAACAAACCCAGTGTGGAGAGGCCAGTCCTAGTGTACACTGAAGGAATTGTAATCATTTCCTATGTAAAACAATGGATTATTGGTTTAAAATAGGGTTCCAACTGCCCCACTGGTTCTGATCAAGTCCATTTTAGAGTGATTTTACATTGCTTAATTAATAGTTGGTCACCCAGAACTGCCCTGTTCAGCCTGAGGAACAGGAACAACGTTAGGAGCAAGCTCAAGAGCAGCTGTACCAAAGGTTCCTCCAGCCCTGCCAGGCAGAGCAGAGGGATATTGCTCACATTTAACAAGTGTAAGGCTTTCCTGTGGCTGTTCATCGTGTACCTGTGGAGTGCACTTGAGAGTCACAGTGTGAGTACTGTAAACACCGAGAGGAGTGCAGATAAAAGAGCTACAAAGATCCTGTATGGCCAAAAAACCTGAGGAAAGCTGGTTAAAACAGACCTAGGAATCGTTACAAGACCAGTTTGATGAGTGTAGGCCTAGTGGTTTGGTTTAAAAATCAATAAAAATATTCAGGTAAAAAAATAGATGTATTCACATGGAGGACAAGCCGCTGGGGTTTTAAAAAGCAACACACGTTTCCCTTGCAGAATTGAACTTCTCTTCCAATAAGGACACGTGGAAATCTCCCCTGAATTCTTTTCCTGGCTGCATTTAGCACCCACACTCAGCCATGCACACCAAGAGATCCCAAAGAAGCACCTGTATCTATCCCTTAATTTCTTGCTGCCCTCTGAGCAGGGGAAAGAGCTGGTTTGGAATCACTGCAGAAACTGCTGCTGTACTGGACAGATGGTCCCATTTCAGCATCTAAAATGTTACTGGCTACTTGTTTTGTCCTTTTTCAGAAAGCACTAGTTTAATCTGGAGCTTGGATGAGCTGTTCAAGTATAAAATTATCCCTCTTAAGCCAAAAATCTCAATAACTAGAGGAGAGATAACCATATCTAAACAAAACTAACAGAAAACATCTGTCAGCATGAAGAACTATTCTGTGTGTATAGGCAGGGAGATGCTCTCCCATGGAACAGCTGGAAAAACAGGCAATGGCATTGAATTATTAAGAAATAATGAAGCAGATGAGTTTTTCTTTGGTAAGTAATGAAGTTTTCCTCCTGAACTCCCCATAAATCAGGCTTTCAAGCTTTACTGCAATCCTACATCCTGATGCAAAGCAAAATTTCCATCTGCTCTTCAATAAATAAGTTTAGATAAAAACATTTCCTTCAAAGCTAAGACTGCATGGTTGGGGAGCCAGATGTGGAGTCCTGTGATCTACAACTCCTCCAAACAAAAATAAATCAGGTTTTTGCAGCTGATGCCAACTTAGAAGGCAGTAAAATGTTTCCTTAAGCAATCCAGGAGTGGTCTTCAGACTGACAGCTCTGACAATCTCCAGTTTTACACAGATTTGGTAATCCCTGCTTCAGGAGGTCACTTAGGAGTTATTTTTCCACAAGAGAGAGCTGTAAGACTTGCTGAAGCTCTGCATCTTCCTTTTCCTGACGCTGCTTCTCCTGCTCCTCCTGCTCCCTCACTGACAATTCCATGGCAAGCTGCAAGTCCTTCTCAAAGCTGGAGGCTTCACTGGAGCTGCTGCTGTGGGAGTTCCCTGATCTTGACAGAAAGCTCTCCTGAAGTGCCCTGATGGAAAAGAACAACTCTGAGAAGTAAAAGAAACAGAGCCTGTCTCATATTCTTTGCAATGATCCTTCCTGGCAACTGTTTTAGACTCAGAAACCTGAAAATCTCTCCCAGAGGGGAGAAAACAGTTTGAGGATATGAGAGCAGCTGTTCCAACATGTGTAAAATTCCCTATGACAAACAAGGATTCCTTTGAATCATTCACAGATACCAGCAGTTATAGTTTCAATGGGCCCTCTAAAAGTATCCTCACCTGGTTTAAAGGATTTTTCATGATAGAAGAACCCAGAAGATCCAGTTCTTGGTTTCTTTGCACTTAAGTGCAGGAAGACTCCACAGACACCAGAGCCCATTTTTAAGTGTCCATTAAATCCATGTTTTTAAGGATTACATAAGGATTTTGAAAAGAAATAAGATCTGCCTTGAAGTGTGCAGCCTCTAATAACCAAAGATGCAATGCAGAGGGAAATTCAGAGTTTTAAGAGCAGAAGAGGAGGACTGGGTTTGTATGTTGGGTAAAGAATCTGCTGTGTGCACAGACCAGCCCCACAGCTGGAAAGAGCTACACAACATGAACCAGGAGGCCCAGTTTGGAGTTCCTGTTTCTTAGAAAAGTTGGAAGAAGCAGAACAAGAAATCTCGAGTTTTGTGCATTTGCTCATATATATTAAAAAAAAAAATTGCCAAATTGCTTTATGGTACTGCTGGGGGTATTTTTGCAAGGTTTGATGTGAAAAAAAAACTTACTTCTGATACTGCATGTTGAAGTCTGAGGAATATGCAACTGCTCCATTGGAAAGCATCTCCAGGTCCTAGAGATGGGCAAAGAGACAATTCCACAGCAGTTATCAGATCTGCAGAGTAACTCACTGAAAGTCACCCTGAAACCACCTTTATTTCTTCTTTGAAATGCATTATTTTTATCTTCTAAAGTCTAAAGTAGAAAAAGTGACCCTACACTGGTTTCCTTCATCTCTTGCTGCACAGTCCTTGCCCAGGCTGCCACTGTACAGACCCCAGCACTTACTTTATTTGCACCAGACTCCAACAAGCTCTGCTGGATGGCAAACTGCATGATCTCATTGTCCTCATCCTGCACGAGGATGTTCCTGCCATCATCCTGGATGTGGTAGGATTTGGGGATCTCAAACACCGACTGGTCAACCTCGAAATTAGCACCTACAGAAGGCAAATAAAGCTAAAACCACGCTGGGCCCTGTTTGTAACAAGTTGTAACAGAATAAATTCTGATGAATGGTTTTGCAGTAACACCTTGCAGCTCCCCCTGTTCCATTCCCTGCTTCTCCCTCCTCTGTGCATTGCAGGGACAGGGATGTAAAAAGGGGAGATCCCTCACCTGCATCACTCTGTGCACCTCCAGGAGAGGCTCTCTCAGCTGTCCTGCAGCTGTTGACATTTTCAAAGGTAATTCGAGCATTCAGCACGTGAAACAGGGGAATTTCTGTAAGAGAACAAGATTTCTGCCAACATGAGAACAAATGTTTGCTTCCACAACAGCCTCCTATAATGACAAAGCACAGAGGAACTAAACTCACCAATAAGGTAGCTTTAGTTATTTATTATTATTTATTTAATTTTTAAAAAAAATATTTATTTAGCTCAATCTCTCTCTAAATCTCTTATTTTAAAATAAGATTTGCCAAATTTAAGGCACTGAAGTAGGAGGAAAGGGGCTGACAACAGCTCATGCTCACACAAATGACATTGTCTTTAAAATTATATTTCTGGATTGACTCCAGATGTACAAAACAATGTTTCAGGTAGCAGTGAGAAAACTAAAAGGCCAATGTGGTTTTTTTTATTAATATATTGTGAAACCAAAGGGGGAAAAATGGACAAGATGTTACTATAAAAATTGCTAAATATTACCGATTTTGACAGGAAATCCTGGTGGAAATTCCAGAGTGATGAAATCCCTAAGTCTGGCAAAATGAGCACTGGTTCTGGCCATCAGGTCAATGATTGGAGTGACTTGTTCCATAAGAGACAAGGGGAACTCTTCACTCATCCATAAGGTTGCTTTAAATCTTAAAGACAAAGTAGGATAAAAAACATCCTAAATTCACAGTTTAGGAACAGATGCAAAGCAAAACAGGCAGTTGGGCAGTGGCAGGAGGTTACTAACAAGTTACAGCACCAGCCCAAATGTTTGCTTTGACTCAGTGGAATTAAAAATAGATTATAGCTGTATACTTCAAGATCTCTCATCTAATTAATTGTGAAAACTTGGAGGGAAAAAACCACACTGGATATTTGTAAAAATGGTTTCCAGGGATTAGATAACTGGGAAGAGACAAACTAGAAATAGTTAAAATGGTATTTCTCACTTCTGTGTTCTAACAGTGACTTCCTTTGGTCTTCCTATGTCTCTGCCTTTCAAATCAAATTCTGGGTTGAAGTATTCCTCCAGAGTAATAGCAGTGGGATTGTTGGTTGCAGCATATTCTGTAGTCCTGGATGTACTCTAGAAGGAAAGAGAGGGAAAAAAAAGCAACCCAAAAAGTAATGAACAGTGGTTACAACAAGAAACTTTTAATTTACCCTTTGTGAAGTAACTCCTTCCCTATTTCAGGCACAGTGACAGCCAGCCATAAACACCAGCTGTTATTAGACTGAGGTTTTGTTCTGTTTCACTGAGGTTAAAAATCTCCAAATTTTTAGAGACAGAAAAAATCTTAAGACACTTTAAAGATGGAAACCAACTAGAAATACACACATGAGCCCCAGCATTTCCAGGCTCCAAATCCTTTACTAAAGTCAAAACTTGGATGGAGGATTTGAACCCTAAATCCCTGTAAATGTGCAATGCCATCCTGACAGAGAACCAGCAAATCCATTATCCACTCTTCTTTCACAGTTTAGAAGCAAGGGAACTTCTAAAGCCAGGTGGAATCATGGAATGGTTTGGGTTGGAAGGGATCTCAAAGTTCTCCTATTTCCAACCAAACAAAAACACCCTCAGGGCAAATGAAAACCTCATAATGAAAACTGCTGCCAAGCTAAGGAAACAGGAGGTGACTCCACACACCAGGAATTCCTCCTACAGTGACCTGTGCTGACATCAGACACTCACCTGAGCACCACATTCATGCTCCACTGTCCCCAGGAATGATTCCAGAGGGCTCCTATCAGCTTCAGGTAACAGGAGGGAAAACAAAAACAGCCATTAGCATTAATTAGCAGTAAAACTGGCACTCAGGCCAGGCTTCCCACCCAAAGGGAAGCTGTTCAGATCTCCTGGGAGCTTTACCAGGCAAGCCCAAGACCTACAGCTGATGGTATAAAACAGGTACAACACACAGAATAGAGCACAGATTTTCAGTGGTTTCTATGATTAGCAGACACCTTTGTGAGTCCCAGTGCCTCAGTGGCCTCAGGGTAGGAGAATTTCCATATAAAGTTACTGGCTGGTCACCCTTTACTCTAATTCAAATACCAGAAGATATTAGTAGACCAAAACAAAAATTCCAAGCAAACAAAGCCTCTGTGAATCTTGTATCCATGGCCAAAGTGAAATAAGGGCAGGAATACATTCCTGAGCAGAAAAGTGCAGCCTTTTAAAACTGTCAGCAAACTTTCAACAGGCTTGAAGGGTTTTTATTTCCTCTAAACACAGCTGGGATAAAACCAGGTTCATTTGTAGGTTAAGAGTGAAATAATGAGCTGCCTCAGACACAGAACACGTCAAAGAAAATCAGGGCAAAGTCAGCAAGAAGAGAATTTCCTTGTTTGTCTGCCCAGTTCTTCAGACACAAAGGAGGTGTCAGACAGCCAAAGGGTTGTATTTATTCCCAATTTTCCTATGGGGAAGGTACCTTTATATCTTCTCTTCTCCTCTTCTGTTAAATGCTCTGTTCTGATCCGTGTGATCACGTTCACGTTGTTTGCTGTGTAGACCTTACAAAAACACAGAGACAAAAACCAAGCAACATCACAAGTTAAAAAAAAAGAGTTCCCCAGTAAAACATCATGTACACAAAACTAACTGAACCAACCTCAACACCAGACAGGCATTTCCAAGAGATTTTAAGAGGGAATGGAAAAGGAAAGCCAGGGAATACTATTTCTAATCAGAAATGAGTTATAAGACCTCAGAAATTATATTTAGTAACAGTTTGGGAACACTACTGAACCCTCTGTCCAGCTGAACAGCACTGCAGTCTTATCAGGAAAAACCTTCAGATAAATGTAAAAGCTATTCAGCACTTACTCTTCTGGTGAATTAAATTACAAAATGTAATTTATTGCACCAATTCCCAAACCTGGAGTAAACACAGAATCAGGGAAATTAAATCTTGTGATTCTGAACCTAAATTCCTACCACAGTAAGGCTGCAAAACCACCTTGAAAAATATTTCACTGAGGTGAAATAAAGGTCAGAACCAGTGTCAGGAGGAACCATTCTAAGCAGCTGTGACCCAGGTGCAGTTCATGAATTCAAGATGCCACTCATGGCTGCTGGTGCCTTGCAGTGCTGTTATTATCAGCAGTTCCTCAACTTCCACCCACTGAAACAATGGCAGTGTTCAAATGTGAGTTAAGTGCCAGCCTCTGGAAGGGAAGGACTGCAGGCAGCTCTGCTGAATCTTCTGTCCCTCCTCTCCCCTCTTGGATCCCCCTGGGGACATTCCTGCACATGGGCTCCATCCCTCCCACAGCCTGGAAGTTCCTCACTCCAGCCCAATTCTGCTGGCAACACAATCAATGTCCCAATAGGAATTTTAAGACCTGAAATAGTCAGGAAATACAGAAAAAAGCACAGTCAGGCTTCAATTTGCTGCAAGATCTGTCAGAAGAACAGAACAGGCTTTACCTTGGCTTCATAACCATTGACACCTTCTGATTTTTCTGTCCTCCATACCCAGAATCCAGATGTGGTTCTGACAAAAAGGGAACACCACAAATGTCTACACAGCTGCATTTTTATACAACCCCCAGCTGGTTTTTCTAAATCTCATTTTAAAGAACGTTTGACAGGTTATTAATCCCAGATACCTGGATAAATAGGTGTAGTCATGAAGAAAGACAAATGTGTCTGTTAAAAGACACACTGTGCACATTTATTTAAAGTATTCATGTGAGAGTTGACTTATTTGGTACCAAATCCAAGTTCTTGTCCATCGGTTCCAGCACATGGATTTGTGTGAAATGCAAATTTGTGTGAGCAATTGACTTAATCCTGGAGGCCTTTTCCAACCTTAATGATTCCAGTCCACTAATATGATAAACTGGAAGTTTTCTGCCACTGATTTCTTTCAATTGGAAACTTTTTGCCAAGCAACGGTGGCAATTTGACCAACCCAAATCTCTTCATCTATCGATTCATGAAGCTTAAATTCATTTCAGACCTAGCCCTAAAAGTTTTAATTACCAAAACTTATGTGAGTTTGTCATTAAAGCTAACATCAAAATGCTTATTTGCTAAGAGAAGCTCTCTGTCTTACCTTTCAAAAGCAATGTTTTTGGTATCAAGGCACGTGCTGATGATTGGGGATGTGAGGCGCCTCTCCACATCTTTCCTCTTGGGCGTCATCGATCCCAAAGTCAAACGTTTCATGTGCTGGGAGATCTCAAACCTCTCTGTTGTAACAAACTTGTCATCGTGGTTGATCTCAATGAGCTCTGCCCAGCCACCAGTGTCTGGTGGAAGAAAAGGAACATTTCAAGTTAAAAAACTCAGCAAGTGTTCCGGGGTGAAAAGCTGGGGGTGTATCGTGTATCAAACCCGGGTGTTTCTGCACTCAGATGGGATCAAGCTTGGAGATGGAACTAAAGTTATTTTTTATAGGTAGGGCAGCAGAAAAGAAGGAAGGAAACAGTAAAATATTGACATTTTACCCCATCACCAAATTTTTACCTCAGATTCACTCAAAGCAAAGAAGTTAAGCCATCATAAAACAATATCTCCGTGAGACACAGACAAGCATAAAACCTTCATAAAACACAAGAGGCCTTTTAGGTGTAAAATCAGGATTTCTCACTGTGCTCACACAGTGTTTGGGGGTCAGTGGTGCAGACAGGTGAACTCTATACCTTCTCCCTTGAAGATGACAGTCCTCCTGCCCCTCTCCCAGCTCATGTTCTCAAAGCCCAGCAAGGTGATGTCCACACGCAGCTTGGCCCGGCTCTTCCAGATGCGGCACACGTCGCTCGGGCACACCCTGGAAACCAGGGGCACTGGGAGAAAGGGAGAAATGCAAAGGGAAAATGTGCCACAGGTGCAGCACAGAGGAAATGAAATCCAGCACAGGGATGGCTCACTCCTGGGAATGTCATTCCAGAGGGGGTGAGATGCTGATCCTCTTTAGATTTAAGAACAACCAGCTTAGGGCAAAACTGGTCTAATTTAAAGAGGAATGTGAAAAGGAAGAAGATATTTGTTCAGACTGAAGGGTGTGAAATGGCATAAATCCCATGCCTGGTGGTCTAATAGTTTGATATTTGAAATATTTAATCAGCTGTGAGGCCTAGTGTTCATTCCTTTCAGGGAAAAGCAGGTACTTCCCAAACAACCAGTGCATCCATAGATAACACATGATCAGACGGCCAGGGATAGGTAAAAAAACCCAAGAAAAGTCTTCAGCAACTGCAACAAGTGCTAAATTCTCCACTACCAAAAACTAAGCAACCAACCACATAGGAAACAAAGAATAATTGTGCAACAAAAGCACAAGAGGTCATTTAGAGATGGAGGAGAGGAGGATTCCGGGGAGCGGATATTTCCCTGCCTGTGCTGTGGGACATTTGTAACTCATTTTTACAGCTTGGAATTGGTAACAAGGAGCAGGATTCTTACCCCAGCTAGTGAACTCCCATTTCATTTCCACATAAAAGTCAGGAGTCTGCAGAAGGAAAATATCTGATGAGTACCTCATGAAATAGTTTGACATTCATTGCAGCATTTCCTGTGAACATTTTAGATAAAGGAAAAAAAAAAAAGGGGGAGCAGAACTGGAGAAATGACTAGCCAATGCTAAAACTGAAATTGAAAGTAGCAACAATAGGCACTGCCCTGCCCCTGCTGCTTTCTGGGGAGCTGTTCTTCCTTGTTCTACTGGAGGAGCAGAAATGCCTTCAAGATTCAGCCTCCAATGCTGGAGTACCTAACCAAGGATTTAAATAAAGTCAAGGAAAAGCCTCCATGTCCCTCAGCACTATAGAATATGCAGGTTGGAACAAAACACAATTGCCCAGCTAATTGCAATAGTTCACTTAACTGAACTACTTGAATGAGAATTCAAGCAGTGATTTCGGTCTGGAGTGAGAGTTTACACTTCAATAAATCATTACCTCGTTAATTTTCTGCAGTAACTCAGGAACTCCTCCGAGGGTCATGGAGGTCTGCTGGTAGTCCCGATGCTGCAGGATCAGCTGGACCATCTCTGGATCCCCTGTGCTGACAGCCTCGTGCAAAACTGAAATAAACCCAACCACAGCCTCGTGTCACTTTGCTTGCTGACCAAAATTCCCCATAAAAACACAGAACATCTGCTACTGAAAGAAAGACACCCCAGGCTGTTCCCCAGGCTGTCCTTACCCGTCCATCCTTGTGCATTCTCCTTGGTCACATCTGCCTTGTGCTGCAGGAGGACCTTGGCAGACTCGATGTAACCCAAGGAAACAGCCAAGTGCAGCAAGGTCCTGCCCCGTGGATCCCGCTGGTCAACGTCCTGCCAGTGTCCAGGAGAGAAGGAACAGAGCTCATCAGAGCCTGCACAAACAGAGAGCTAATCCAGGAGTCAACATTCCCTGCCATTCCCATGGACCTGCTCCCAAACTCTCCTGCACCGCCCCTCTGCAGGGCTGGCTCGCTTCCCCGCGTGAATAAAAGGAGAGGCAGAACGGGGCCCAAGAAACGACACAAAATCTGTAGGACAGGAGTTCCTGTTGATGCTTTTCAGTTCTTTTTCTGTCATTATTTCCCCTCTGGCTCCCCCCAGAAGGCTCAGGAGGAGATGGGGGAGTCTCATCCGTGTGCATCGCCCCACGGACAGCCGAGAGCCTGAGAACCCACAGAGGGCTTGAACTGTACAACAAAATGGGGGGAAAACAGGAAAAAAAAGGTAACAGAGCACACAACACAGCTTTTGGACAGCACTTTTGGAAAGGACAGAAGCAGATGGTGTTTCACAAAGCACACACAGCACAATGAGGAGTGAGGGCATTCTCTACCAGTCACTAAAATAAAAAATAAACTACACAGGCACAAATATCCAAAACATGCAAGCACAACATACTCATACCTTACACATTTTTCACTATTAGCTTAGAGATTTGAAACAGAAGAGCATCTATAACTAAAGGAAAAGGGGAAAGTCAATAGCAGAATGAGAAAGGAAGGTTATTATGCATGTTAACAGCGTTATCTGACAGCTTCAAGTCAGACTATCTCACAGAGAGTGGGAAAGCTTCGCTTTAAAGCATCTTCTCTTCACTTCTGGGGCGGAACATTAATTAAATTGCTTTCCCACCTCCTGCAGCTCCAGGACTGCAGCACCAAAGAGCTCCAAGGGTCCCTCCCCACTGTGGTTGCTGCTGTTCCCTGCCCCCCACATGCCCAACCCTGTTTGCCACCCCAGCTGCAGCTGGGAGGTGCCTTTGATCCCTTCCCGCGTCCCTCCGGCAGCAGGAAGCTCCTCCCGAAGAAGCAGGGGGAAATAGATCTTTGGAATACTTAAAAAGAAAAAAAAAAAGTGTTTAAAAGCAGGTAAAGGAAGTAAGAGACACAGTCCATCTTCACACACTGCTGGTTTCCACAGGGAATGGAGGGAGGAAGCAGCATTCCACAGGTGGGAGCTGCTGAGTGATCCCTATTTAACCACAGACTCTCACAGGTGTCAGAAATAAACACACAGGAGCAACGTGCCAGTGAGGTTAAAGATTTTGGTTAATGCAGAAGGTGACATGAATTAGATAAGAAGTGACTGCATTCCAAAGATTCTCCCAAACCAGGGCAGGAACATGCTCTGAGCAGGAATTAGTAAGTCAGGTGCACCGTTAGAGCTGCAGGTGACAGTCAGGAGGTGGCACAGCTGGTCTTGGGCTCACGTACTTGTGGTGTCAGGTATAATTAATTAATCAGCTCTGCTTATTAACTGTACCTCACTCTAGCCCTTGTCAGAGCTTTTCCACAGCAGCTCAGCCAGAAGGATTTTTGCTGCTCAAGCTCTGCTGCAGCTTTCAGGCCATTTCCTTACGTCATCATGTCCCAGAGAGGGGACAGCTTTGTGTTTTCTACTCTCCAGCACGGAACAATGATCCTTTTTTTTTTTTTTTTTAAGCAGAGATACTGAAAACATTCCAACCAATATAAAAACTCTGCCCTCAACCTTGGGCAGCAACAAATCTATGAGAACTGATGGTGCTCAGCAAGTGGGGGCTGGTTTGATGTCCAGCAGCAGCAGCCACTTTTGCTGCACGTTGACTTCCCATTAAGATAAACACTATTTATTGCTTTAATAAATAAATTAACGTCCATCACAGCTGCTCTCCTTGAGCGACTCCTCTCCTTTTGCTGCAGCTGGAATGCTCACAGCAAAGCTTTACAGATGGGAAGCCAACGTTTAATATCTGACATAAAAATATATTCCTCCACCTTTTTCCATCAATCCCACACCACAAATAAACGGGTAACGAAACGCAGGGATCCCTCAAGCTCCTGGCAGTACCACCAGGGTGCTTCTCCCTGGCACAGCGAGGGCCAGCAGCCCCCGAACCCCCGTTACCTGCTCCTGCAGCTCCTCGTCCAGCCGCCTGTAGTCGTTATTCCACACCAGGACGTGCAGGGGGAAGGCGCTGCTGGCCCCGCCAGGGGAGCTCATCCCGGCACACACCTGCGGAGGGGCAGCCAGGGCCCCTCACTCTTCCCTCTCTGGGTGCTGCAGACCCCAGGTTACTCAAGCCCTCAGCCCTTCAGCTTCTGCTCTCTGCTGGCACCCACCTGGCCCAGGTGTGTGTGTGTGCGTGTGTGTGTGAGAGCCACAACCCTCTAGGAACCGTTCACCCCTCTCCAAGGGGAGCCCCATGCAAACCCCACCGCGGGGGTCTCCCTTGCTCCTGGTGCCCCTGGCAGCCCCCCGCTCCCGAGAATGTCCTCCCGGAGCCCCTCAGTGCCGCTCCCGGGGGTCTCCCCTGCTCCTGGTGCCCCTGGCAGCCCCCCACTCCCGAGGGTTTCCTCCCGGAGCCCTCTCAGCGCCGCTCCCGGGGGTCTCCCCGCTCTCGCCCCCTCAGCCGTCCCCGTCCCTCTTCCCTGTCCCTCCGGGGACGGCTGGGACGAACCACAGCGCGGCCGGAGCAGGGGGGGGCTCCTCGCTGTCCCCCGCACTCTACCGCCACCGACAACCGCACGGAAAGCGGAAGCCGCTCCCCCTCCCCCTCTGCGGGAGGACAGATGGAACGTCCCGCCCGCAGCTGTCCCATCGCCTTCCACGCGGGGGGGGGAGCGCTCCTCTCACCCCACCTTCGCCCGGCCTTGGTTTCGCTCGCCCGCCCGCCATGGCGGGTGAGGGCAGGGTTTGCTGCACAGCGGCCTCTTCCACCAGCCTTCCGAAGCCCCGTCTCTCCCGTCACCCCGCTGAGAGGGCGCAGCGGGCGGGCGGCCGCACCCCCGAGCGGGAGCGCTCAGTGCTGCGCCGCTGAATAAGAGCTCAGTTAAAGTCAGGCCCATGCCAGCAGTAAAGATGGCGGCACGGGCGACATGCGGAGCGGCACAGAGCGGCTCGGCGCGCATGCGCGGGGCCGGCCCGGGGCTGGCGGGGCCCGTTACCGGCCCCGCTGCCGCCGCTGCCGCCGGTCCCGCGATGGCGAAGCGCCTGAGGAGCAGCGAGGTGTGCGCCGACTGCAGCGCCCAGGGTAGGCACGGCACCGCCACCGGCACCGCGCGGGCTCGTCCCGCCGACCCCTCTTGGGCCGGGGGCCGCGGGGGCGCCGCTGGCCCGGGGGTGTCACCGCCCCGGAGCGGCCGCCGCTGCACCTGTGATGGAGCGGGAGGGTTCGGGTGAGAAGGGACCTAAAGCCCATGGGCAGGACAGCTTCCAGCAGCCCGGGCTGGGACACTCGCAGGGCTGGGATATAACTCCGTGTCCGAGCGTCCGGGTCCCGCCGGCACCGCCGCCCCTCCCGAGCCCGGGGCACGCAGAGCTCCGGGATATCCTGGAGATCTCCGGTGTGGAGGAAACGCGGAGCTCCCCAGTGTAGGAAGGAGGAAAGCCGACAGAAATGCACCGGCTGAAAGGCGGGAGGAGGGCGTGGGTTGGGAGTGTGTCACTGAAGGGACGGGGCTGCTTTGGGGGAGCGGGGCTGGGCTCGGAGCTCTTCATCCATTCCCTCTTCCCAGGTAAGCTGGGAGTTGTCCCACGGCCCGATATGGGTGTCGGTGTCCCAGACTTCCAAGGAAAGTTGTGCTGAGGTGTCTGAGACGCTCAGTGTCTGCTCTGGGCTGACACATATCCCACTGCAGACCAGTTTGGGAGCGTGTGGAAACAGATCTTGTCTTTAGGAAGGCTGTTGCATCTCTTGACCATCTGTAGTTCTGCTGCTCTTGTATCTAAAACTGTCCTGCTTTATTTCTTTAGCTCTGTCTGTGTCTTTTCTGTCTCTTTAGTTTTTGCTGTTTGTGTTCTGGGCAGGTTCTTCCAATACAATTAATTAATTATGCACGTACTGATATGAATTAAAACACTAATGTAATAATACATTATTATTACATATGTAACGTAGATAGCTCTTGAATTGGCAGAAGATAGGATGTGCCAGAAGGGAGAACAACTTTTGTTAAATCTGAGTTATGTTTCAAAAAAATGATAAAAATTCCAAATTGACTTCCAGAAAGTTACTTTCTTCTTTCTACAAAAGGAATTCTTCCCTGTGAGGGTCGTGAGGACCTGGCACAGGCTGCCCTGAGAAGGTTGTCCCATCCCTGGAAGCGTCCAAGGCCAGATTGGGTGGGGCTTGGGATAATGGGTGGTGTCCCTGCCCATGGTAGGGATTGGAACTGGGTGAGCTTTAAGCTCCCTCCAACCCAAACTAGCCTGGATTCTTCTTGAACCCCTGTAGAAATTTGGGTTTACACTCAATGGAGCTGGCATCTCTCAGGCAGGCAATTTTCCCTATCACACAAGGCAGCCTATCTATGCTTGCACACCTCAGGGGTGTTGTGGCTTGGAGATAAAGCTGTGTGAATTGTGTTCCTTAAGCTCCAGAGGTATCAGAATCACTGTCTGGTAATCCTGTAACCCTGCCTTTTATCGTGACATTAGAGCACTGCCAGCTTTTTACTTATTTACTAGAAATCTGCTGGCTTATCCACATATAGAAAGAAATCTTAATTTAATCTTTTTGTAAATAAAACAAATCAACCCCTTCCTTTAGCTAAACCAGAGAATTTTTCCCTGGGTGCAGGGGGGTTGTGCCAGGAGACCTGGGGGCTGCAGCCTTTGCATCACTGTGGGTGTGCCCAGCACCTGCATTAATTATTGCTTCCCCTGGAAGCTCATCAATGCCCCCTTTGTCTCTGCAAAGGCAGAGTGTGTGGAGGGTTTTCTTTGACTGGGGGTGATCTTAGAGCAGCTCTTGTGCTGCACTTCCTATCCCGAGGCAGGAGCTCAGTTCTCAGACCCAGGGCCGGGTTTGTCTCCATCTCACACTTCCTGTTTTGAACCACCCTGCAGGTTCCTGAAAGCGCCAGCCCAACCCTGCAGCTTCTCCCCAATTGTCCTTTGTATCCAAACCAGCGTGGGCAGCAGGGCCAGGCTGGGACCAGCCCTGAGCTGGACACTGAGGCTCCTCAGTTGCTTTGTCCAGCTCTGGGCCCCTTGCTCCAGACAGACGTGGAGGATGTCCTGGAAAGGGAATGGAGCTGGGAAGGGGGCTCAGCCTGGGGAAAAAGAGGCTCAGGGGGGACCTTGTGGCTCTGCACAACTCCTGACAGGAGGGGATACCCTGGGAGGGGTCAGGCTCTGCTCCCAGGGAACAGGGACAGGAGGAGAGGGAAGTGCATCAAACTGTGCCAGGGGAGGGTCAGGCTGGACACCAGGAGGAATTTCCTCATGGAAAGGGTGCTCAGGGCTTGCTCAGGGAAGTTTGGATTCCCCACCCCTGCAGGTGCCCAAGGAATTCCTGGATGTGGCACTCAGTGCTCTGGGCTGGTGACAAGGTGGGGATGGTCAGTCTAAGGTTGGGCTCAGTCTTGGAGGTCTTTTCCAACCTCAGTGATTGTGGGATTCTATGTATTTTGGTACTGGCTTAAACATATTCTGATTGAGTCCATAATTAGGTCTGTCTTAAAAATTGCTCAAATTCCAGGACAGATACTTCATTACACTAAATTTAAACCTGAAATATCCAGGGCCATTGGGTGTTGAGGTGGAGATAAAGAAAACCCCCAGTGCTGACTGTTGATAATGCAGAGCAGTGCTCACAAACAGCCTGGGAATGGGCAAGGGAAAGGATCCTTAAGGATCCCATCCATGTGTGATGAGGTTGTCTCTAACAAGAAGGTACCAGGCTCATTAATCTGGAAGGCTGCCTCAGTTTGGGTCATTAGGTTGCCATGAAATCATCTTCACTCCATTGCTGTTCTTTTTCTTCGTCAAAATCAAAGTTTTTAAATAACAGAATGATTTAACAAGGAGTTCAATGTGCTTGTTGTAATTTGTTGTTTAATAAATTGATTTTTTTTTGTCTCACCTGCTTTAATTTGGCTCTGGGCTGGTTCTGGTGGGTCAGGAGATGCTGCTGTCCCTCATGGCTCACTCAGGTTTGCCTGCATTGCCTGCAGCACACCCAGATCACCAACTCTGCTCAGAAACCTGGGAAGTCACATCTCATTTGCAGGGATTCAGTCCATTTGTGTGGGTCAGAGGAGACTTTTCCATATGATGCACCAGTGCTCAGATGTGTTCTGACAGGACTCAGAAGTTCTCTCATCAAATACCAGGCTCGCCTTGTACTCACTTATTTGGCCTCAGACCCATCTCTGCATTTGAAATTAAGATTTTTCCAAAATAAAAGAGATCTTGATTTCCTTTTTTGTTCTCCTGGGAGGTGCTAGGTCTGAAGCTCTGTCTGGCTGCTCAGTTGCCTGTTCCTGCAGGGTTCTGGCACGTTGAGTTTCACGTGTCACTGACAGAAATTGGAATTTCTTCTGGAGACTGAGCTCTGAGCTGCTGAGGGACCTGTTTGGTGTCCTGTGGGCATTTATTGTTTTAGCCTAATCTACCATTCCTACTTGATTTTATGCCTTTTGATGTTTGTAGCTCATATATATTATTTACTACTTCACTTCCCATCAGTTTTCTTTCTGGGCTGTTTATAAGATGGTTCAGTTCAGATCTGCTGTGAGATGAAGTTATTTTGCTTGAGAATTTTGGATTTTATTGAGCCTTTGACTTGGCACATATGTATCCTTTTTTATTATGACACTCTTGTGTGTTGTTATTATTTAAAGTGGAAATTTAAAAGATGTTGTTATACTTTAGAACTGAAAACTGAGTAGTAGGGGGAAAGGCTGGTGCTGTGGCAACTTTATGTATAGATTTTGTGGTTTTAGAAAGTATTTTTTGAAAAGCTTAAAAAAATCCCAAAAAACCAGAGTTTTTTTCAAAGAGCAGGTAGGCACTGTTGTTAGGAATACTTCTGTGGGAGTCCACAGAATAACAAGTAAAGCACTTCAAGGTGGTGATAAATTCAATGTTTTGTTATGTTTAGAAAGGAATCTGTTTTCACAAGGAGAACTGCAAGCAGTGGGGCCTTTCTCCAAATTTCCACTGCAAATCTTCTCACTGTCCTTGGAATCCCACGTCCCCCATGAGTGCCAGGACTGGTGTTTCCCATTTTCCCAGCATCCAGAGCCCCCAGCAAGGCTGTGACATTCCCAGGCTCACACAGTGGCTGAGCAGGGAAGGTTAAAATGCTCATTTTAGGCTCTGCTTTTGCAATCCAAGGTCGTGCTGCTTCCTGTGTTATAATGGATGGCTTCTTTTGCAGATCCTTGCTGGGCATCCATAAACAGGGGGATCCTGATCTGTGATGAGTGCTGCAGTGTGCACAGGAGCCTGGGCCGTCACATCTCCCAAGTGAGGCATCTCAAACACACCCCGTGGCCTCCAACACTGCTGCAGGTACATAGGAAGGCTGTTTTCCTTCATTAAAACCAGATTTTTAAAATGTCATTTAAATCACTAAACCTTTTTTTTTTTTTGAGAGGGATGGTCCTTTTAAGCTTTATTTTTTTTAAGTTATTTACATTTTGTTTCTCTTCCTTTGTTGTGGTGGGCCACTAAGGTCAGAATTATCTTTGCATTTTGAATTTGATACCTTTGCTTTGGAAGGTCACTTCAACTTTTCTTTCACAGTACATCTGTGAAAGAAATTCCACTGCACATCTGCTTTAACCTGATTTTTCTTT